GAAGGGTTGCCCTGCAGTCTATTTCTCACTGAATCATATGCCTACTTTAATTCTTGATTCTTTAATATCTTTTTCTATTTTATTGAAATTTTTTAGTAGTGACTTTTATTCTGATAAGATTTTAGTGAAGTTACTTTAGCTAGAGTTACTCATCTCATTCTCTGTGGCATTTATCTGATAGGTAGTTTCGTTCATTTCATTTTCCTTTCTGTTTGAAGACTAACATACCTCACAGGTTTAAGTGCTTAGAAGATGCTGACTTTCGGCCACAGTGGTTTTATATCATCATCCTCTGAGTCATCTACAATGAATTAATTCATAATGATTAAGTGTAAGATTCTTAAACTTGATTCTGTCTCTATTATTTAATTTCTAGTAATATTAAAACATGGTTGTCTGGCCAGGCGTGGTGGTTCAAGCCTCTGATTAAAGCCTCCCAGTGCTTTGGGAGGCCAAGGCTAGAGCCTGTGCTCAGAGGTTCGAGACCAGCTTGGGCAACTTGGTGAGACCTCGTCTCTATAATAAATCAAAAAATTAGCCAGGCATGGTGGCACCCACCTATAGTTCCAGCTACTCGAAAGGCTGAGGCGAAAGGATCTCCTGAGCCCAGCAGGTCAAGGCTGCGGTGGCTGTGAGCGTGCCACTGCACTCCAGCCTGGGCGACAGAGTGAGACTCCAACTCAAAAAAACAACAACAATGACAAAAATACTATGGTTGTAAAAATTAGATTGTTGTAGCAATGCTAAATCTGTTCTTGTCTCTCAAGCTTTTAAATTTATATTGCTGTCTTTCTGAGCTATGAGCACCTCTTCTTCTATTATATACTTTTTCCTTCTCAATATAAGTCATGCTGTGCACGGTTATGACAAGGTATAGAGTATATACATCCATATGACCCTTCCATCCATATGGTAAGTATTGTCTTGACCAAATACCAAAATTTTAATTTTTTTAACAAGATATTTGAGCTATCTGTAAAGAAGACAATATAACCACTTCAGCTTTCTTTTGCTTAGGATTGCATGGTATATCATTTTTCATTTTTTGCACTTCATTTATTAGTGTCTTTATATTTAAAGTATGTTTCTTACAGGAAGTACCTAGTTGGGTCTTGATTTTTTTATTTAATCCAATAGTCTGCCTTTTAAATTAAGGTATTTAAGCTATTTACATTTAATATGATTATTGATAAAGTTAGGCTTAAGTGTATCATCTCATTATTTGCTTTCCATTTGTTAAATCTGTTCTTTGTTCCTTTTTTCTCCTGCTTTTGGATTATTTTTAGTGATTTCATTTTACCTCTTTTGTTGACTTATTGGCTGTAACTTTTTATTGTATTATTGTGACTACTTTAAGGCTTAGAGTATATACTTCTAACTTATCACAGTCTACTTTTCAGTGATGTCATACCAATTCACATACCAGATGGAAATATGAATTCATATAAAAAAATGAAGGACACCAAAAATGATAACCTCTTTACAGGATATTTGACTAGTTCAACAAAAATAATAGCAATGTCCTATGGAATGTATACCATATTTCCATCTGATATTATTTTCCTTCTGTCTGAAGGACTTCCTTTAAGACTTCTTGTAAGCCAGGCACACCCCTGTGGTTCCAACTACTTGGAAGTCTGAGGTAGAAGGATCGCCTGAGCCCAGCAGGTTGAGGCTGCGGTGGCTGTGAGTGTGCCACTGCACTCCAACCTGGGCGATGGAGTGAGACTTCGACTCAAAAAAAAAAAAAAGTCTTCTGTAGTACAGGTCTGCTAGTAATGTATTCTTCCAACTTTTGTATTTCTGAAAAAGCAAAATCCTTATTTTGGCTTTATTTTTGAAAGATATTTTTGCTGGATGTGGAATTATGGGTTGATGCTTTTTTCCCCCAGTAATTTAAAGATGTTGCTTCACTATCTTCTTGTTTGTTTTGTTTACAATGAGAAATCTAATATAATCTTTGTCTTTCTTTGTGCATAGTGAGTCTTTTTTTCTTGACTGCTTTTTAAGATTTTTCTTTTTATCACTGTTTTTGTACAGATTGGTTATGATGCCCCTTGGTGTGGTTTTCTTCATGTTTCTTGTGTTTTTGTTGGACTTCTTGGAGCTGTTGTTTCATAGTTTTTATCAAATTTTCATTTTTTAAAGCCACTTTGTCTTTAAGTATTTTTTCTTTCCTCTTCTTCTGGAACGCCAATTACTTATGTATTAGTGTGCATGAAATTGTGCCACAACTCGTTGGTGGTCTTTTATTAAAAAAAAGTTTTTCCCTCTCTGTGTTTTGTTTTGGTTAGTTCTTATTGCTGTGTGTTCAAGTTTACCACTCTTTTCCTCAGCAAAGTCTAATCTGTCATAACTCCTAGTCAGTATGATTTTCATCTTGGGTGATGTAATTTTCACATCTAGAAACCCCATATTAAAAAAAATCTTTTATGTCTCTACTTTTTGAATATATGGAATATATTTGTAATAATTTTTAACATTCTTATTTGCTAATTCTAGTTTTTATGTTCTAGGTCAGTTTTGATTGATTGAATATTCTCATTTTGATTAGTGTTTTTCTGCCTCTTTGCACACCTAGTAATTCTTGATTGATTGCCAGACATTGTATTATTTACCTTGTTAGGAGCTGGATATTTTTATGTTTCTATGAGTATTTCATCGTGAGAATGTGCTATACTTTATTTACTTTACTCTTAGTGGTCATTTGAATACTTTTTATCTTTGGCTGAGAACTCTGCTGTGAATATCCTAGTACTTGTGCTTTGATGAACATTTGTGTGAATTTTCATTTGGCATATATTCTCAGGGATATAATTGAATCGGTATGTTCAGCTTCAGTATATACTACCAACAGTTTTACAAAGTAGTTGTGCCAATTTATATTTCTACTAGGTATGTATGAGAATTCTGCTTGCTCTCATCTCACCAATACTGGTATTTTTTGCCTTTTTATTAAAGACGTATTTTAATTTTGATCTGCATTTCTCTGATAACTGTTACAATTGAGGATATTTTAATGTACTTATTGGCCATCGACTGTGGCTTCTTTTAGATTATCTGTGTTTTTACAAATGGATTCCTAGATTTTCTTTGTATGTTCTGTATGTGAATTCTTCTTTGCAAATACCTGTAGGAAATGTCTTCACTTACTCCATTAGTTGCTTTTTCACAATGGTGTCTTTTTAAGAATATAGTTCTTAATTTTTAATATTGTATAGTTAACTTTTTTAGCTCTTAAATGGTTACTGCTTTTTTTGTGATCTGCTTAAGAAATTTACTTTATTTTAAGATATGAAGATTTTCTCTTCAAGTATTTTGAAACTGTCCCCCCCTTTTTTATTTTTTAATTTTTAAATTTTTTTTTGAGTTGGAGTCTCACTCTGTCGCCCAGACTGGAGTGCAGTGGCCGCTCCTGGCCACCACAGCCTCAACCTGCTGGGCTTCGGTGATCCTTCTGCCTCAGCCTTCCGAATAGCCGGAATTACAGGCATGCGCTACCACGACCGGCTGATTTTTTGATATATTGTAGAGATGAGGTCTCGCCAAGTTGCTCAGGTGGGTCACGAACCCGCGGGCTCAGGCAGTACACTCACCTCAGCCTCCCAAAGGCACGGGATTACAGGCTGAGCTACCGAGCCCGACTCCCCCCCCTTTTTTAAAGACCAGCTCTTTGTCTTTTGTGTGGGTTGCATTTTATTTTGCTTGGAATTCATTTCTTTCTTAGAAATCTGAAAAATACCAGCCACTTGGAAAAGTCTTTAAAAATGATATATGTGAGTGGCAACAAGTTTTGAAAAATCATATTTGAACACGAAAGGATAACTATATTTTAAGAATCTTATATTTTTACTCTTTAGCTTATTCATTTTTATTTTATAATTTATTAATATTCATGACAGTACAGTATGTATATTTTATTTATTTTAAGAACTAGCTTATATGATTATATATGTTTTTGCATATTAACAAATCATGACATTTTATTTGCAAATCACATTTTAGAGAGCTCTAATGTGTATATTCTGAGCCAAATGAAGAAAACAGAGAAGATAGTGTTATCCCCTCATCAGAGTTAATTATGGATAAAATATAGGATATTATTTTAACAGCAGTATTATTGATAATACCTTATATTATTTGCCTCTAGACTGTATAAAATAATTCTGCATTCATTCTCATTTGATTTTCATAACAGCCCAATTAGGCAGAATAAGATTTATCTTTCTGTTAAATTAGAGAAAAGTGGAAAGATTGTGACATACTCCACAACTTAAGACAGTAATGGTAATGTATTATCATTATAACTTTTTCTTGGTTATCTTTAGACTGTATGTTTATTTTGTAGATGAAAATAAAATGTTACCTGCAAGATCAGGAGTTACAATAGAAGATCATGTCATTGCGGGAAGTGTAGAAGAATTTCGTAAGGATTTCATTTCTAGAATATGGCTGACCTACAGGGAAGAATTTCCTCAACTAGAAGGCTCAGCTTTGACAACAGACTGTGGCTGGGGCTGTACGTTGAGAACTGGCCAGATGCTCTTGGCTCAAGGATTAGTACTACACTTTCTTGGTAGAGGTAAATCAAATCTCTGTTTTTGTTTTTTGAGGGTTTTTTTGGTTGTTGTTTTTCATTTTGAACTCCAGCGTACAAACTGCATGAAATTTGCCAAGCTTAATTTTTTGATTCTCTAATGTTTTAGCTTATTACATTTTTATTGAACTGGGCCAGATGTGACTTATATGTAAACTTTCATGATTCTCCTTTTAAAAATACCTAAACATACTTGCTATTCTATGTCACCACCATGAGATAAGTTAGTTCAATTTTTAAAACTGTTAGATTTTATTGTTGTTGTTATTATATTTTCACTTTTGGTTGAACTTTGAATTATTTTTAGTTTGTTAAGTCCTGGGCAGACCAATAGCACGATGTTGGGTGTATAGTTAGTGCTTTTTAAAATCTTAAGAGTTTTTAATACTTGATTTTAAAATTTTCTTTCTACATGTCAGTAATGGTTAAAAATTATTTTTATCGTTCTTTTTTTTCTTTGAGTTGAAGTCTCACTCTGTCACCCAGACTGGAATGCAGTAGCCGCTCCTGGCCACCGCAGCATCGACCTCCTGGGCTCTGGCGATCCTTCTGCCTCAGCCTTCCGTGTAGCGGGAACTACAGGCGCACGCTACCATACCAGGCTAATTTTTGATTTGTTGTAGAGATGAGGTCTCGCCAAGTTGCCCAGGCGGGTCTCGAACCCACGGGCTTAGGCAATCCACTCACCTCAGCCTCCCAAAGTGCGGGATTACAGGCTGAGCCACCGAGCCCGGCCTTATTTTTATAAGTATAATTATAATTAAATATTAAATTGATTGATGTATTCTGAATAAGGTCATCATGCTTAATCTTTTAGATACTCAAAAATATCGTTGTTACCTAACTTACTTTTTTCCCCTAATATGTCATCTTTTTATTAGTCCATTTTTAATAATGTGTACGTTGCAGGAAGATTTTCATTTACCATTATGAGATCATATCTGATTATTACTAAACATTTTATCAGATTTTTAAAAGTGTTAGACAATATCCCTGCTATGCTTGGCATATATTTAATAACCCTTCTGTAGATTGATGAGATTATTTAGAGAGAATGTTTATTGAAGATTGGTGTACAAATTGGTGCTTTTATTTAAATAATTTTTAAAGTGATTCTTAAACTAGTTTTCTGGGATGACTTTGTATTCTTATGCAATCATGAACAAGGATTGGAATATTTTTCAGTCTACACTAAATCTCTGAATCTATGACTTATTTTGTTAACTTAAAATTACGTGCGTGTTAGGAGATTGTCTCATTAAGAGCAGTGATGTATATATATATTTGATATTTTGATATCTTTGATGACTTTATTTATTAATTCTTTATTAGAGAATTAGCATTACTTTATAATGATTAAGTTATTCTAAAGGAATATACTAGAAAAAATGTTTTAAAAAAATTTAAAATTTTAATAGTCAGACTTCTGTTCTATCTAATCAAAACAAAATCCACTTTCTGAAGATACCCTTTCATGAGTACTATAAATGTTAGTAAATATATTTATTGTGTCTTTGAGTAGTCAGACTAGATGTCTGATAATGGAATCTAAGCACTGTCAAAGAAAAGAAAAAAGAACATATTATAGAATTGTCCATTTGTACTCAAGTTTTCTATTTTTTTCTTTTATCTTTTATTTTTGTAATTTTTTCCCTGAGTATATGTGATACACTCCTATTTTAGAAATTTGGAAACTATACAAAAGTCCAGAGATAATATTACCACTCACATTAAAGATCATTGATATGTTGGCATATTTTCTCTGCCTGTTTTTTTGTTTTTTAAGCAGTTTTATTGAGATATAATCTACATGCATAAATTCATAAACTCATTTAAAGTGAAAAATTTAATGGTTCTTAGTATATTTACAGAGTTCTGTAATCATCACCATAGTCTGATTTTAGAACATTTTCATCTCCAGTAGAAACTTTATACCTATTAGCAGCCATTTCCAATATCTCTCCATAAGCAATCATTACTCTACTTTCTATTTCTACATATTTGTCTATTTTTGAGTTTACTGTCTTTGTTTATTAACCTATATGACTTTAAATATTGTAGACTTACTTTAGTAGAATTGTTAAAGTCTAGCTGTTTAAACGATCTGAACACCTTGCTTTGGAACTACTATAGCTTGGACCTGGCCTGATGCTTTGAATATTGAAAATTCAGACTCTGAGTCATGGACTTCCCACACTGTAAAAAAATTTACTGCGTCATTTGAAGCATCGCTTTCAGGGGAAAGAGAGCTCAAAACCTCAACAATTTCTCTGAAGGAAACGATTGGGAAATATTCTGATGATCATGAAATGCGAAATGAGATGTATCACAGAAAAATCATCTCTTGGTTTGGTGATTCCCCATTGGCTCTCTTTGGCTTACATAAACTAATAGAATATGGAAAGAAGTCTGGGAAAAAAGCAGGGGATTGGTATGGACCAGCTGTGGTTGCTCACATTTTAAGGTAAAATTGTTTTAAAATCTTTCATATTGTGACAGAGGTCCATAGGATCAAGAGATACTGATTTTTGTAATGTGTGTATGTAATTGGAGCTTTTAAGATTTAACTGTATGAGGATGGTTAGAAGGAGCTTTCACTTGCTGATAAGAAAAACAGAAGACATACTATGATTCTAGTTAATTTATCTACTGACAAATTTTTCTTCTCTTGCTCATAGGAACAGATATCCCAGGTCTCTTTCTACAGGTTTTCATTAGAATACCTCATTGAAATGTTCTAAAAACTAACATTTCTTTCAACCTTGGGACATGCAAAGCATCATAGTTTTAATTTGTTTGTTTGTTTGCTTGTTTGTTTGTTTTTTGAGTTGGAGTCTCACTCTGTCACCCAGACTGAAGTGCAGTGGCCGCTCGCAGCCATTGCAGCCTCGACCTGCTGGGCTCCAGCAATCCTTCTGCCTCAGCCTTCTGCGTAACTGGAACTACGGGCGCGTGCTACCACGCCTGGCTAATTTTTTGATTTATTGTAGAGATGAGGTCTCGCCAAGTTGCCCAGGTGGGTCTCGAACCCGCGGGCTCAGGCAATCCACTCACCTCAGCCTCCCAAGGCACGGGCTTACAGGCTGGGCCACCGAGCCCGGCTTAGTTTTTTTTTAATAGTGTAACCTGGGGGCTGTAATGTGCTGATAGTGTAATGAAATATCAAGAGCTAAAATTGATGTTTTCAGCATTTCTTTGCACACATCAAGTTCTTGTGAATTGTAAATGTATGGGACTATTAATATTATATCACAGTAAAAGTAAAGGGTCTGTGACATTCAGGGTAGTTAGAAAAAAGTCAAAAGTCAAATATTACTACACTTCAGCTTTTATGTGCCATTTATTTGGAAGTTTCTTAAATTAAAAAAAAAATTATTTGTGTGTGTTCTATTGTTATTATAAACTAAACCATTAATATGTCATCTAAGTATAGTATAACTCGTATTATGGTAAATTTACTCCATTTAAAATAATATACATTTGAAAGAATTGCAAAGCACTTTTCATATTAACATGTTTCTATATTTTATAGACTAGATGCTTACAATTGAAAAGTATTTGCTGAATGTTATTAATTGGATTGCTAATAATAATGTCAATTCCAACTTGGTATGACATTTATAAAAGCATAATCATAAGCATGTCATTTCCACCATCCGAAATGCTTTCTGCCCCATTCTTGCAGATAGTACAAAAACAGTACATAGGAACATGAACGATAGGGTATTTTAAATTAAAGACTCACATGCATCATTGAGAACATTATACTCAGATAATTTTCAGTTTGCAGTTCTGTTTATAGTTTTCGAGACTTGAAATCAGGAAATTCATTTGTTCAGGTCACACAGGTTTGTTTTTTGAATTGGAGTCTCACACTGTCTCCCAGGCTGGAGTGCAGTGGCATACTGGGCTGTTGGGTTCAAGCAGTTCTTCCACCTCAGCCTTCTTTTTTTTTTGGAGTTGGAGTCTCACTCTGTCGCCCAAACTGGAGTGCAGTGGCCATTCCTGGCCACCACAGCCTCGACCTGCTGGGCTCCGGAGATCCTTCTGCCTCAGCCTTCCAAGTAACTGGAACTACGGGCGCGCGCTACCATGCCCAGCTAAATTTTTCTTGATTTATTGTGGAGATGAGGTCTTGCCAAGTTCCCTGGGCGGGTCTCGAACCCGCGGGCTCAGGCAATTCACTCACCTCAGCCTCCCAAGGCGCGGGATTACAGGCTGAGCCACCGAGCCCGGCCCTCACCTCAGCCTTCTAAGTAGCTGGAACTACAGGTGTATATCACCACGCCCAGCTAATTTTTATTGATTTGTTGTAGAGATGAGGTCTTGCTAAGTTGCTCAGGCTGGTCTTGAACCCCTGGGCTTAGGCAGTCCTCTTCCTCCGCTTCCCAAAGTGCTGGGATTAAAGGTGTGAGCCACTGTGCCTGGCCTCCAGGTTTTGAATGAAGGAAAAAGCCTCATTTTGTTTTAAAAAAGAAAACTTTCATAAGTATACTAGAGGACAAACACAGTAATTTACTCCTAGTTAGTAAAGTAAGTTAATATGAGGCAAACCTTGAAATACATGGTCATATCATCACTGGTTAGAAGAGTGGTTGAGGAAAATCCTTTTTATGGGGGGGAGTTTATAGCTTCATACCCAATAATTTTTTTATAACTTATGTTTTAATGTTTTTGATTAATTTAATAGTCAACTTAAAAATTTTAACTTGATTTCTAATAACATTCAGATGACAGTTTTTAAATATCAGATATTATGGATTAAATAGTAAAGTCAGGAAAATGATGACTTTTTTTCTTATTAAACTAATCTTTGATTACCAAACAGAAAATGTAAGCTTGGATTTTAAAAGACAATGTTTGCTGTTTTCTTAGAAAAGCAGTTGAAGAAGCGAGACATCCTGATTTACAAGGACTAACGATTTATGTTGCACAAGATTGTACAGGTAAGGAATGTATATAATTCTAATTTGTATCTGTTTTACATGTTTAGCCTACTTCCAAGTTGTACTGTAAATGTAGTTATGAAGATAGGGACTATATCTTACATGTTTTTGTCCTTATATAGCACCCAACATATAGTGGGCACTTAGTAAGTAGTTTTTGATTGCGTATTTACTATGAATTTTTAGTTGCAATGTTAATATATTCTCTAAGAAAACTCTAAAACTTTAAAGTGACTACTTTAAAAGGATAGACGGGAAAATGCAATGTAGTTATATACTTTGGCTGATGTGTGCCAGGTACCATTTCATTGGGAGATGTGTTTCAAAGAAAAAAAATTCTTAGTTTATCTTACGAGGGGCAGAATATATTTCTTACTAGTGCCTCAGTAAATCATCTCATAATGATGAACAATATCTATACAGATTGAGTCTTTTTATCCCAAATGCTAGGAACCAGAAGTATTTCGATATTTGGATTTTTTTTGACTTTTCAATATTTGCATATATATATATAGTGAGAGATCTTGGGATGGGACCTAAGTCTAAGCATGAAATTCAGTTATGTTTCATACACACGTTATACACATAGCCTGGAGATAATTTTATGTACTATTTTAGATAATTTTGTACTTGAAACAAAGTTTTGACTACAACCTGTCATATGAGGTCAGATGTGAAATTTTTCACTTGTGACATCACATCAGCATTTACAAAGTTTTGAATTTGGTAGCATTTTTGGATTGTGGATTTTCAGATTAGGGATGATCAACCTGTAGTAATTTTGAAACTTTATTGGGAATAAAATAGAGACCTTAATTCTTAATAAACTAAAAGTGCCCCAGCCACCTCATCCTGTTAAGTTTAGTTTTTACAGAAATGCTATTAAGATGAGAAAATATGTTTGTGTTTTAGAAAAGTAAAATATATTTTAATCATGTGTTAACACAAGAGTATCCACAAAATGCTTAAGATTGCCCTGATTGCCAGCTAATATTTGTAGTGTGAAATAATGGTTATAAAATCCATGCATTTTTATTTGGCCTTTTGTTAAGGTTAATTTTCTTTTCAAGAAAGACTGATAGCCATATATAACCATACGAAAATGAAAGTTGTATATTTTCAGAGGCGTATATAAGTTTTGCAGGTACTGTTTGTTTTTCAGGTAGAAAGTCTTGCAAATAAAATTTCCTGTGTTAACAGTTCTAATTAGGCCTAATGATGTACTTACATAAGTAATCATTAAATAAACTTATGAATTTGCCTTTTGTCTTTTGTTGGTAGTCAGCCTAGATCTTTATTTGTTACATCCACTTAATTAAACAGCAAACAATGCAAAATTCCTTGTTATATAAATGTCTCGTGTAATTTGAAGTGGTTCTAGAATCCTAAAAAGAGAATTTATATTTGTGTACTTTTGGTAGACTGTGGGATTAGGAGGTAAGTGTAACCAAATCCTGTCAGTGATTTTTTTCCCTTTTGCCTTCACTCATACTTTAAAAGTAAACGTTCATTAGCATTTTTAAAGATTTCATTATTTTCTCCTTTTCTATTCTGTGTTCTCTTGTTTTGTAATTGCATGAATACTTGTGATTATGTACTAAACACTAGGACTCTAAAAACTGCATTTCTAATTCTGCCTGAGTTGGTATAAAGTAACTCATATTTTCTGCTACGCTTCAAATATCTCCACCTAGTTGTTCTACAACTAATTCAGCGTATTTAAAACTAAACTTGCTTTTTACCTCTGTCCCACCCTTTTTCTCTTTCAGCTTTCTCCTGACTAATAGTGGCATTTCCACATGCATGCTCAAGGTAGAACACGCTCATTCTTGACTGCTTTGTCATTGCTTCTATCTAGCCAGTCAACAAAAGCATACCAATTACACTTTAAAAAATATTCCTGCAACCTGTCCTCTGTTCTTCATTCTCATTGACTTAGGGTAGATCCTATCTCTAACTTCGATGCAGTGTACAGTGGCAAAGAAGTCTGGGTTTTAAGCATGGCCTCCACCCTCACTTGTGCACATTGTACCTGATAGGTGATTTTTCATCTCTACCCTCCACTCCCCCTTCTGAGTCTTTGGTGTCCATTATGCCATTTTGTATGCCTTTGCAGTTCTTTAGTTTAGCTCCCACTTATAGATAAGCCCATGTGGCATTTGATTTTCCATTCCTGCCTTATAAAGTAAGTTCTGAATAAAACTAACTTGAACAAAATAAAATTTTGTCTATATTTTCTTCCACTGAATCCTCCTGTTTTTTCTTGAACTGTTGCACTTAGGCTGTCCTACCCACCACTCTACCAAAACTGCTTGATCAAAATCAATTTCATCTACCTAAACCCAGCAGTTACTTCTCAGTCCTCATGTCACACAGTCTGTCAGCAGCATTGACACAGTTGACCACTTCCCCCTCCTCCTTATAACATTTTGTTTACTTTCTATTTACTTTCGCATCCACTCCTTCACAGTCTCCTTTGTTGGGTCTTCCTCATCCCTTTGATCTCTGAAATTGTTGGTGTTTTAGTGCTCAGCCAGCCTTTGGACCTCATCTCTTTTCCTGTCTGCGCTGATTTGAATTCACCCAGTCTCATGGCTTTACAATGCCATCTGTATGCTGGTAGCTTCCATATTTATGGGTCCCACCTGGTCCTCTTTTCAGTTTTATATGTCCTTAACTGTCTGCTCAACCCCTCTACTTACATTCCTAACGAGTATCTCAAACTTATCATGTCTGAAACTGAATTCCCAATTCTCCCTCCTCTATTTTCCTCTTCTCCAGTCTTCCATGTCTTTGCAAATGGCAACTCTCTTAGTCTGCTTACACCAAAACCCTTCTAATCACCTGTGACTTAATTTTTTTCTCATATTTTACGTTTCATAGCAAGTCTTTAATCTTCAGATATATGAACTGATCACTTTCCACTGCTTCCACATGATTATCCCATGACATTTTCTATCTTCACAATTACTGCCATTGTTAAAGCCACTATCATTTCTTGCTGGATAACTGCAAAGGCTTTCTGACTGTTCTGTGTGCTTCAGCCCTTGCCCCTGTAGTCTTTTATCAACACAGGAACCAGGCTGCTAAATAAGTGTAGGTCAGATTGGGACATCCCTAAAAAAAACTCTTCAGTGGCTTCCCATCTTACTCAAAAACTGGCCTTTACAATGACTTTCAAGCGTTCACATAACCTGTCTTCATTCTCCCCTCTAACTGTAACTTTATCTTCTAACCTTATTTGCTCCTACCGTATGTACCCCTTGCTTGCTTCTCTCCAGAGGCCCTGGCCTCTTGTTCTTGGAACATGCTAGGTATGCTTCCACCTTAGGGAAATTGCACTTATTTATCTTTTGTTTTGTTGTTGTTGTATTGTTGGAGGCTCACTCCATCATCTAGGCTGGAGTGCAGGGGCACACTCATGACCACCCCAGCATCAATTTGCTAGGCTCCGACAGTCCTTCTGCCTCAGCCTTCCAAGTGCCTGGAACCACTGGCATGCGCTACCACGCCCAGCTAATTTTTTTCATTTTTTATTGTAGATAGGAGCTCTCGCCAAGTTGCCCGAGCTGGTCTTGAACCCACGGGCTTAGGCAATCCACTCACCTTGGCCTCCCAAAGTGCTGGGATTACAGGCTTAGCTGCCAAGCCTGGTCACTTGCTGATTTTTTAACCTGAATGCTTTCCCCCCAGGTATCTGCATTCCTGGTTTCTTTCTTTTAGTCTTGGCTCAAATGTTTCTTATAAGATCTTTCCTGACTACCTTATTTTAAATTGCCTCCCCTTTCAGTATTTTCTGGCCACCATCCTCCCTTTGTTTTACTTCAGAACACCTGTCAACATCTCATGTTTCTTATAGTTTACTTATTTATTGTCTCTTTTCTCCTACTGGAGTGTGTGCTCAGGGAGGGCAGGAATTTTTCTGTTTTGCCTACTGCTGAAGCCCCAGTGTCTATAGTAGCTACTCAGTAAACATTTGTTGAATATCTATATGAAGCAGGTATTTTTAACTTGAGACCTCGGCCATGATGTCAGAGATCAGATGACTGGTCACTGGAGAGGAGGAGGGAAAATTTGGGTAAAAGTGTTTCTGAAAGTTGATTTTATAAAATTTAATAGATTTTTATTGTTTTTCTCAGTTTACAATTCTGATGTGATTGATAAACAGAGTGCCTCCATGACATCTGAAAATGCAGATGACAAAGCTGTAATCATTCTAGTTCCTGTTAGACTTGGTGGAGAAAGAACCAACACTGACTACTTAGAGTTTGTAAAGGTATGAAATAAGTGCCTAATTTTTTTTAAAGGCAATATTGGCTAATATGAAAAATACAGAAGGTTTGCAGTCTTTTTCCTATTACATGGATAGTAATGATTTTACAGTTGTACATTGTAAAGTTTGACATTAGAGATTTTAAATTTCAATATTACAAGATGAGATTTGAGTTGAAGAGTACTGTGTTCTAGGAAAAAGTGAAAAGCCGTTTAATCTTTGTAGCTAATCAAGGGGACACAGATGCAGCAATAATCATCATGTGTAATATGATTATAGCTCCATTATTCTCATTTGTAATTTTAAGTATGTATCTTTAGTCATAAAACTAACATTAAACTATATCAAATTAATTATTGAAACAAACTTTCTATTACAACTGCTATATTATCTCATAATTTGTTTCTCGTGCCACCATGATGTCAATAAGAGTTTGGATTATTTATGTAGACAGAAATAATGAAGGTAGTATGGGGGAGTTCCAACTTTGTTTTCTTCATCTTAACCAATTAAAAATCTGTTCTGTTTCAGAACATGTTACTTGGTTTCTTGCACTTAAAAAATCTGTCTAGTTATGCTGTCTTTTGAGCACTTAGACATTGTATGATAAAATACCTTTGAAATACTTAGTTTCTGATTAAGATGATAGTTATGTTATTTTCATTGTTTTAATAAAATTCTTCAGTTTTTAGTAGTCTTTTTTCAAGGCTAGCAATGGAATTCTTCTCTGAATGGAGTGTTACGGATATAGTAACGTTGACTATATGGATAAAGTCTAGATCTGTCTTTTAGGATTAGTAACAATATGTTCCCTACATGAGGCATTAGTCTCATATCATGATCTCCATGACCATGATGTCCTCAGGCTAGATTGTGCTAATTCCAAAAATCTAGAGCAGTTGCTTTTTTATTTTTTTTTGAGTTGGAGTCTCACTCTGTCGCCCAGACTGGAGTGCAGTGGCCGCTCCTGGCCACTGCAGCCTCGACCTGCTGGGCTCCGGCGATCCTTCTGCCTCAGCCTTCCAAGTAGCTGGAATTACAGGCATGCGCTACCACACCCAGCTGATTTTTTGATTTATTGTAGAGATGAGGTCTCGCTGCCCAGGTAGGTCTCGAACCCGCGGGCTCAGGCAATTCACTCACCTCAGCCTCCCAAAGGTGTGGGATTACAGGCTGAGCCACCGAGCCCGGCTGAGCAGTTGCTTTTAACACATGATGCCTGGGAGTTTTGTAGCTGGTCTATTGGCTTTTTTTTTTTAACAATTACTAAGATTTTGGAGGCACAGTTGTTACGAATAATAACATTAACTGTAATATATCCATCACATATGAATTCTCCAAAGAAAGCTGGGGTTTTGATGTCTGACATGTTCTTTAATAGTTATTGGTGGAATGTGAGAAGTTGTAAGAACTTCATCTTGAGAATCTGTTGAGGGTTTTGGAACTTCTGGTGTGTTGTCATCTCTAAGTAGATTCTAATCAGATCTGAGCTGATTCTTTCTGCCTTCTTTCCTACCATAAGAAGATTAGGAACTGATACAATCTTGGAACTGACTCCTTTAGCCAGTGCTCCACTCAGATGGAATGAGTTGCAGATGGCTTTGGGGTGTGTTTCATCTGGCTGAGGACTTAGCTGTTTGGTAGTATTGATAGTATTCATCAGTGGCAGCACTGCCTAATGCTCTTGAATGATTCATTGGAGTCTGAACTGTAATGAAACAAACCATGGTTCAGCAATTAAAGTGACCCCAGTACCTTGTGTACGGGAGTTACTCAATAAATGTGTTAGCCCTCATTTATTTAACACTTTCAATATATATTTATCTCATTTTCCCCTCATAATAGCTAGGACCTGAATTGTCTTTAGAAAACAGGAAAGACATAGAGATGTTAAGTGATATATTAAAGTTCAGACAGTTATGTTAAAATGAGTTTGTATTTTGGTACGACATCATATTAATGTATTTTTTAGTTAGCTCTATGATTGTATCCTTGATGTGCCTTCTCTATTTCATTTATTTATTTCTAGTTGCAGCTCTCCTTTTCAAACTGATAGCATGGATTAGTTTTCTTGACTCTTAGTTTATTGTTTTTCATATTTTCCCCTAAATGATGAACTTTAACAGATATAACGTTTCCTTGAGCATCTACTAACTTGATTTACACTGTTTTTTGCTAAGATGAAAGAGCAGTGACTGCTGAGACATTTTGCTTTTCCAGTTATCAATTCAAAATGCTGAAATGGTTGAGTGAAGTAGGCTTATGTGGTAGAGGCCATGCTTGGCCAGAGTGAGTGGGTCAGTCAAACCCCAAATCAGAACATGTGCAGAGGTATTTACTTAGAAGTGGAAAAGTAGTGTGTTCAATAGCCCTAAAAGAAAAATAGTTTTTTTCTTTTTTTTTTTGTGGTCAGCTGTTCTATTTTATTCCTGCCAAACCGATATACATTGGTGATGTTAAAATTCACCATTCAAGTCTGCTTTTCAAATTTATTACTAAAAGCAACACCACAGTATTTTGGAAATGGTACCATTAGCATCCTGCTGCATGAAGGGAGGAAATTTGCTGTGTGCTTTGTTGGCCTCACCACAGGAGGCTCACTTATTTATTTATATATGTTTAAGGACCTGGAATGAGGAAAATCCACTGTGTTCTTTTTCTTCAGCAAAGCAAATTAGGACTTTTCTGACTAATTGCTTTAGTCTTATTTATTGCCTCATGGACATAGCTCAATAAATTCTCACTCCTAAATAACTGTGAAGAAGCTCTTTTAGGAACTAAATACCGTTCAGGTTTCCAAAGATACAGCCTCTTATAATGTAATGGCATTCTAGCTTCCAATCAGCTTCTGAATGTTTATTGCTAAACCTGCTCAGTGTGTTGCAAAGGAAATATAGACGTCAAGAACCAAAGTCTTTTTTTCTCCATTTATTGGAACCATTCTTTTTCTGAGGAGAGTCGGTGATGATTCTTGTTAGATGTTTTCTTTCTTTCTTTTTTCATCTATGAGAGACTTAGAACTTTCCCTGCTCCTGGATCCCTGTGACATAAGCTTTGCATTGCCGCAGATCAGATTGCCTCAAGTTAAAGAAGTAATGTACTCTGTAGTCGAAGCAAGGATTTTTATTTAGTGGGGAAACAATAGAATCCCTAATTGACAAGTCACTGTATAACTATTAAGCGGTTTTTTATTTTGGTACAATGGCATATTAATTTATTTTTTAGTTAGCTCTAAGATTTTAACCTTGATGTGCCTTCTCTATTTATTTTTAATTGCAGCTCTCCTTTCACAAAACTTTGTGATATTCTTATAAGAATTAAAATATACAAGGTTGTTCTTTAGAGGATGCCTTAGTCCATGTTGTGCTGCTATGGAAGAATGCTTGAGACTGGGTAATTTGTAAAGAACAGAAATTCTTGCACAGTTTTGGAGGCTGGGAAATCCAAGATCAAGACACTGGCATCCGATGAGGGCCTCGCTGCTATGCCCTCACATAGTGGAAGGCAGAGTAGCCAAGAGGAGTGAACTCTGTGTCCTCTCATGGCACAAGAGCAATAGAGAGCCCACTCATTCAAGCCCTTTTGGTTGCAGCATTAATCCATTCCTGAGGGCAGAGCTCTTATGACCTCAGCACCTCCTCAAAGACTCCGCCTTGCAACACTGTTTCATTGGAGATTAAGTTGTCAACACATGAATTTTAGAGGGTACACAAAGCGTCAAACCATATAGCAGAGGGTTACTTATAACAGTGGGAATTTGGAACAGTGTAAGTGTTTATAATGGGGAGCGTTCTAAAGCACATTTTAAAATCTTCATAAAATAGAATATTTTGCAGTCATAAGTAAATGTTATAATATGGGTCTATATTTATTGAAAGGAGAAGATACTCATGACATGATGAGTGACAAAAGGTTGCAGTAGCATTTGCTATGTGATGCCACACACGTAAAATGTATTTGTAAACCTGTATGTGAATTATGTAATATGAACAGATGTCAAGAAGGTATTCACCCAAATATTAATAATGATGAGCTCTAGGTGTTGAGATTTAGGGAAATTTTTTTTTTCTGAGTCGGAGTCTCACTCTGTCGCCCAGACTGGAGGGCAGTGGCCGCTCCCGGCCACCGCAGCCTCGACCTGCGGGGCTCCGGCGATCCTTCCGCCTCAGCCTTCCGAGTAGCCAGAATTACAGGCATGTGCTACCACACCCGGCAATTTTTTGATTTATTGTAGAGATGAGATCTCACTGCCCAGGCGGGTCTCGAACCTGCAAGCTCAGGCAATCCACTCTCCTCAGCCTCCCAAAGGCGCGGGATTACAGGCTGAGCCACCGAGCCCGGCTGAATTTTTACTTTTATCTCTATTTTTTTGTGTGCTTTTTAAAAAAAATGGTCACATAATATTTTAAGAAAACAAGTTAAAAATCTATGGTTTGCTGACTTGCTAAAGGAAAAAGAACATTTGTCCATATATTCTTTATTTTTATACCTTTTAGATTTCAAAATATTCTCTCATTTAAGAGAAGGAAACTACTGCTGTTTAATACTTCTGGGGTTTTGTAACATAATTTATCATAGTGTTTTGTAAAGTATATCTAAGTTAGTGCACAAACGATTGATAAGATGTTAATTGATTTTACTGGACAGCTTTAATCAACTCCATTGGACATGTTTTTATTTATTTATTTATTTATTTATTTTTTTGAGTTGGAGTCTCCCTCTGTGGCCCAGACTGGAGTGCAGTGGCCGAGTAGCCTCTACCTGCTGGGCTCTGGCGATCCTTCCGCCTCAGCCTTCCGAGTAGCTGGAATTACAGGCATGCACTACCATGCCTGGCTGATTTTTTAATTTATTGTAGAGATGAGGTCTCGCCAAGTTGCCCGGGCGGGTCTCAAACCCGCGGGCTCAGTCAGTCCACTCACCTCAGCCTCCCAAAGTTGCGGGATTACAGCCTGAGCCACCGAGCCCGGCTTAGACATGTTTTTAAAAAGATATAGAATTATTTGGCACAACTGAAATAGAGTTCTGCTAAAAATAGATATTGAGAGACATGCTAAATAATTTATTGCAATATCCCTGGTACTTTATGATTAGTAAAAGTAATTGACTTTAAGTACAGTAATAATTATTGTTTTCCTTGGATTAAGTTGTTTTCATTACTCTTTATATTTATTCCAATGATGTAGCATAAAAAATTTGTCAAGTGAGTACTATTTATTAGAAAAATGACTTTGCCTTTGATATTCCAAGACTCAAACCAATGACAACAGTAATAAGGCCTGAGAACTATTTTTTGGCATTTCAAAAAAACTGATGAAAATTTTACATTGTTTACAGTAAGGCTGCACTAGCTAACTGGAAGGCTATGTGTACTGGCTTGGGCAGGGATTTTATTCACCTGGTAAAATTGATTGTCTGGGTATCTGGCACATAGTTGTTTAATATTGCTGAGCAACGTGCTGATCATAATATTTGCTTTAGTCATCTTAATGTTGAGTGATTTAAAGAAAAGTGGAGACAAGTGGATTTCGTGGGGCCACATGTAATAAAAGGGATAGCTAGGTGGTAGAAAGTTTGGGAGCTACTAATACTGGTAATACACATTCGGTCGTTGTGAATAATGACCATTTGTTTCTTGATTCTGAATCTGCGTTAATTTTTTTTTTTTTGGCAGGGTATCTTAAGCCTTGAATATTGTGTGGGTATCATTGGTGGCAAACCTAAGCAGTCCTATTACTTTGCTGGCTTTCAAGGTTAGTTATTTGGTAAAATGTATTTCCTCACTGTTTTCTTTTACAAGTCAGAAAGTTAACATGAGATCATGTGGAAACAGGATGATTAACAGAGCGAAACAAGGACCTTGGTCCATTCGTCAGTCCTGCCACAGCCACTCATTTGTCATGGGGTCCACAACATAATTAGGTTCTGTAAAATGTATGTTTAATTTCCGTGATTGCATAAACAAGGCATAATTTATTGGTTTCACTAAACTTCAGAAGACGTTACTGCCACATTCTGGCAGTTGCTATTTACATATTTACTTTTTTACCAGTTTTAGTGGTTCTAGTTGATGATAAAATGACAAGCAATATGTTCTTCCTGTCAGGATAAAGAAGTACAATACATTTTTCATATGCAAACTGTAGAATATAATTGTGTGTTTGTGAAAGTAATTTTATCACCAAAAGTTAAATGACAGTCTCATCACTTTATAAAAATTCTGCTTATACAAGCATATTTGATTATGCAAAACTTAATCTATCCTGTGCAAACCTATGTTTCAGTCAATGAATATCAGTCTGGCAAGCTGTTACTCCCAGATTTTTTTCAGCTGTTCTACATAGAAATTGGATTGTAAGTAGTGTAATAATAAGGTGTTTTTTGAATTACTTGTCTTCTGTTTTGTCCTTGTAGATGACAGTTTGATTTACATGGATCCTCATTACTGCCAATCTTTTGTAGATGTCAGCACAAAGGATTTCCCTCTTGAGGTACTATGGATAAAGAGCTGGTACTATTTTCTTACTAATTGTTTAGAGGTGTGCTAGATAGATAGCTGTGCTTTTATGGTATTACAATTACAAGTTAATAATCTATATTTTACTGATTTATAAAACCATAATTAATATTATCATAGTCAAAGGTTAAGTACTTTGTTGCTGAATTTTAATTTACAATATACTTTCTTCTTCATTTATCTTTGTCTCTAACTTGTTAGATACTCTAGCCATGCTAAAATAAATGACCAAGTCTCCAAGTAATTTTGTATAAAGACAGCTAAACAGTACTGAAGAATTTAAAATGTTAGGCTTGTTTAGAAAAGAAAGAAAGGAGAGGAAAAAAGAGAAAGTAATAGACAAGTTAGAGTGATAGTGACTTCATGAAATTATCTACTACATTTTTTTTGCTTTAAGTACCATAATTAAATATTAGCATATAATTAAGAAGTTTACAAGAGTTTGGCTGGGTTTCTAATATTTGTTTTAACTTTTATTTCTTAATCTCCTCTTTTCCTTTATATAGGTGATTTTGTGATCCAGTGTTTTAATTCAGAAAAATTTGAGAGTGCATAAATGAAATCTTCAATTTTTACATGGTCTTGGTTCTTTTCCCAGTTGATGCTTTTACAGAATAAAATCATTTTACAGAATAGAATCACTTTAATCACTCTGATGCCATGGATCACTAATTCTCAAGGGCTTGACAGGTTGGAAATATTGGTTAAGTACTTTGTTTTAGGAATAGCTTGTTAGATGATACTAATACCTAATAGTATTTAAGGAGTACATTATGAAAATAGATAAACTGCAAGATTAAAATCTGGTTTAGAAAGATACATCATAAAACACCCTAGCATCCTTTGTAAACTCTTACCTCAATTAAAGGATAAGCATCTTGAGGCCAGAGATCAGGTTTCCTTCCTTCTTTCTTCCTTCGTAATATCTTGCTTGGAAACCTTCATAAATATTTGCTTGCTGGCTGACTACTTCTGGAGGAGGCATACAGAATAATTGTGCTGCGTTAGCCACGTTGTTCTCTTTCTGAGCTGTGGTCTTTCAGCGCTGATTCTTATGACTAAGTTGCATTTCATCGGTGCCACATTGTCTCCTTATAAACAGTAGATACTTGAGATTCAGATGGAAAATTGTTTATCGTATTTTAGTGTTACCTGAAATAGGCATTTAAAAGATTATCAGGCTTGATTATTTTGGCCAGCAGAGAGAAACTATCCATCTGCTATTTTGAGAGACTCTGCAGAGTTACGAGGTGAATGAAAATCCTGTTTATTTGTATGCAGTCAAGATTAGAAGGACTGAAACTCCTTATTGGGAGACTGTTTCAACACTTCAGAGTGAGCCCATAAAAGCTTGAAATAGGGTGGTGGTAGTGAAAATGGAAAGGAAAAATTTAAGATTTTACTTCATAGAGCAAAATTTGGTGAAATTGGGTAACTTTAAAATTAAATGCCCAGAAGCACTTATTCCTTACACATTGGAACACGAATAGAGTAGTTTAGATATTATGCTTTTGAGATGCTGGTAGAATATCTTGAGCCGTCTGGGTTGTTCTTATTAAAAGTTTTTTGTTTTCCTCAATCCAGGGATTTATCTTAGATTATTTAGTTAATAGTATCATTTATCTTCTTATGAAAGTATAATAGAAAAATTACAGCTAGTTGTCTATTTTTGTACAGAAATGAAATTCCACTTTCTGCTTTTTGTAATTTCTTAAGTTTATAATACTCCAGATGAATGTATTTTAACTATCCTATGTTACTAAACATCCTTGCTGTGCAGTATTGGTTGTATATTTATAGGCTAGTGAAATTTTGTAATTGATATAATAAATTATATGCACATTCTAAAACCACCCTTATACTTTAACTGTTGAAATCATTTTTGTAGGCAACTTGTTTTGATCACTACTCCTTTTTGGTTAATAAATGGAGAAATTGAAATTTTAGGTCTTCTATCAATTCCATGTAAATAATTGCTGATAGTCCTGATATTTTAAGTGAGTGGCCTAAATCCAATAGGATTGTGGAATTTCAGGAAAGTAGGATGATATAATAATACGTGAGACTGAAGAAGAGATTTAAACAAGTTGTGTCTATTGTTGTTCTTACAGTGTGAAATTCTTACATTTCTAGAGCTGAACTTTTAACGTATTGAAACCAGATTAGACCAACTCATTTCTGGTTTAGCTCTCATTTTGAGCTCTCTCGAGGTGCAAGGCACAGTCCTAAGCTCTTTAGAGCCCTTTGTTGAACTCTTTCCCTCTCTGTGGTTCCAAATGCTATTTTATATATATATATATATATAAATTTTTAATTTTTGTGACATTTTCTTAAAAATGTATCAGTATATATTCTTGCATTTCTGTACTAACTTTTAAGAGAATCTTCCTCGTCTTTACCTGTCTTCACTGAGTTTTTTAACACATTATAAAGTGAATGTATGCAGTCATATTTAGAACCTGAGTCTAAGTAGTGAAGATGTGCCAGGGAAACTTTTGGTCAGGATTGAGGACTAGAGCACAGAGTTCAGTGTGAGGGAAAATTACAGTGTATAAACTCAACACTGTGTAATTTTAAAACAGAATGGGGTTCAGAGGAGCAGCATAAATAACCTTAAAAGAAAAAAAACCCTGGAAATTAGAAGGGAATGAGAAGAAAAATGGGCTTTAGCAGTGAGGGTAGGTGAAATTGTGGGTTTCCATTGTCAGTGGTCAGGACAGTGCAAAATTTTAGTTGTTGGGATGGGAGAACTAGTGGTTATATATATATATGCGTACATAATATATACATATGCATGTTTGCACTGTGTGTGTGTGCACGCACGTGCAGGGGGACCAAAAAACCCCAGTAATTATGTATAAACAATTGTGTATTTATTCTTACATGTTTAAGCTTAGTCATCTTCAAAGTGCTGTCGTTTTTGATGCAGTACACCTATCGAGATGCTTTTTCCAATGTTGAAAACAGTTTTAAAAAAAAATTTTAAAGATGTGGGGTACACTTTAGATCTACAAGTGGTCATCATACAAGTAACATTTGGGCCTCCATTTGGTGCCCACTTCACCCTGGTTTGAGATCAGGTACCCTTATTGGTGTTATGTGTCCTCCCCTATCCCCTGGCAGTTTCTAGCTACTGCCAATCCCTTTCTTACAGTATTATGGTAAATGTTCAGAGTCCACTTATGAGTGAGAACTTGTGGTACTCAGTTCTTTGTTTTTGTGATAGATTGCGGAGTATTATAGATGCTAAATCCATCCAAGTTGCTGTGAAGCCCCTAAGTTTGTCCTCCTTTATGGCTGTGCAATATTCCATCATGTATATGTAACACATTTTTTTTTATCCAGTTCAATTTTGGTGGACAGCATGGTTGGTTCCATGTTCTTGCTATTGTGAATAGTGCTGCAGTAAACGTGTGTGCAGGTATGTTTTTTATAGGACGATTTGAGTTCCTCTGGATATATTCCCAGCAAGGGGTTTGCTGGGTCAAAAAGTTTTTGAACTCATCAGTTTTGATGCTTTTTAGTGCTTTTGCTGTTTTTTGTTTCACCTCTTCCACATTGGCAGAACATTTTCATCTGGGTAAACCAAACCTAAAAAAGAATGTCACTCGGGGTGAGATCGGTTAGTAGGCAGTGTGGGGCATGGGTGTCATGCTGTGCTTAGTCAAAAACTGCTGGACACCCAGTGAGGTGTAATTCGCTGAAGCCAAATACAGCCTCTCACAACACTAGCTGGTATGCTGATGCCAGTGGGTTTCTAGAACACTTACCTAACGGGGGAAGCCTGTACTGCAAGGGGCCTGTCCTCCAAAAGATAATTCTGTTTTTTGGGGAGGCCAAATAGATATATATGTTAAGGTTTCCTAAACCACCAAGACTATTGGTTCATGTTATTTATGATATACTTTTGGAATGATGGCTTCTAATGCTTACAAAAAACAAATTTTAAAAGAAGAAAAGCTTTACTAATAGACATTTTAGACTGTTCTGATTCCTAGGCCCCCAATTCCAAATTTTAGAATTCTCTTTTTAAAGATGAAGAATGTATTTATTGGAATATTTAGTGACTTAGGCAAAGGAAGATGGCAGATACTCAGAAACTGGATACCAGGAAGAATAATACATGAAAAAGAGAGAAACAACAATATAATACCTTTCAGCATGTACAGCATACCTTGGAGATATTATGGGTTTGATTCTAGACCACCACAATAAAGCAAATATTGCAATAAAGCGAGTCACATAACTTTTTTGGTTTCCCAGTGCATATAAAACTTACATTTACACTATACTGTAGTCTAGTAAGTGGGAAAATAACGCATCTAAACAAACAGTATACATACCTTAGATTTTAGGAGGTTCATTAAGTGGCACCTATTTTAATCTATCCTAGGACATGCAGAAATAGTGGCATTGACACCATTAGAATTATGTGATGTGGGCATCTAGGTGGATGAATGAGTGACTTCACCAGTGAAAGATGTACCCTTTATTAATTACACATGTGAACTGTAGTTAGTAGGAGGTGCTTTTTAGTGAGGATATTCCCTAATTACCTATCTTAGGCTGCTTCATCGAAATCACCAAATTAGCATACCTACACCTAAAAATATTTGTTTCAGCATGTTTAGTTAATAGAATAGGTCCCTAATAGCTATTGAGACAATGAATAATGTGTTGCAAATGAAGCAAATTGACTCTCCCTGGCCAGTTTTTCCAGAAACATATTTCATTTTTACAGAAGTATATCTAGTGAACACTCCTCAAAATATACTTGTGAAGTAGAAGCTGATACTCTTACCAGTCATCAGAATTGTAAAAATTGAAAAAGAACTCATAAAAGTGCATAGCTCAAAGAATGATTGCAAAACAAACATAGCCTTGTAATACCACCTTTGAAGATATTTGAAAGTCTTTTTCTGCAAAAAACAAATGATTCTGAATTATAAATTCATGTTCATTTGACTTGGGTGAACAAAATAACAATTTTAAGTTTAGATGCCATAATACGCCTCTCTATAATCTGAGTCCTAGTACTCATGCAGTAATACCCAATAGCAATTTCAGTTTTCAGTGATCAAAGATTTATATCTGTTTTTGTGAATAATTTAAGAAGTTCTTTGCAGATACAAAAACAACTATGAATAACAATTTAGTGTTTGTCATTATTATCTGTGATGATTGAGGCAATACAGTGAAATAGCAATAAGAGACTATTCTGGTTTAGTGTTATTGGTTCCTACATGAAAACTTTTATTAAAGCTTGAATATAATGAAGGACACCCATGTAGATGAGTTTGAAAATGTATTTTTAGGCCGTGTACAAACTTTTTGGCTGTCCTCTTTATCCTCAGATAGTAAAAACTAAAGAAACATTCCTTTTTGCTGACTTTGGAATGAATTGGGCAAATGGTTAATTTTAGATTTCATGTATGTAGAATTCTTTTTTGTAAATATGACCTAGAACTCTGCCTTATACCTAATATATCCTTATATTAAGTAATAAACTTAGCTTTTCTATGCCTTTCCTGGTCTAAGTATACCTTTGCAAATATAACAGGTGAAACAATGTTAGAAAATGTCTCACTAAGACCATACTTTTGTTGACTAGTACCCTCCTGGTTCCAGCTTAGCTAGGATGTATCTCACTGGACAAAGAAATGTTAGCTAAGGCTAAGCATTTAGGAGAAGTTATAGATTTGAAAAGTCATTTGTTTGGCCTGTATGTGTTGACATATAGTTGGATTTGAATCTACCATACAATTGAACTATTCATGGGGAGAAAAAGCAACTTGAATGTATGTATTTTGTATATCCTCTGGTGATAATAAGGGATACTAATTGAGTCTCTAGGATACAGGGGATATAGGGGGAGAGAAGAGGGTGATTTTGTTTGATTGACCTTGGACATAACAAGTATGACAACCTATATTTTCCCACATTGTAATAGACATTATCAAGTTAAAATCCCTTAGTTTTAGGTACTGAATGTGGGGAGATTTCAAGTTTATGAGATCAAATCCAGTCTAGATTATTTTTTTCTTTTCTTTCTTTTTTTTAGGTAGGGTCTTACACTGCTGGAGTGCAATGGCATGGTCATGGCTCACTGTAGTCTCAAATTCCTGGCTTAAGTGATCTTCCTGCCTCAGCCTCCCAAGTAGCTGGTACTACAGGTGTGTGCCACCACACCTGGCTAATTTTTTAATTTTTTGAAGAGATCTTGAATTCCTGAACAAAGCAAGGCTTTGAACTCCTGGCGTCAAGGGATCCTCCAGCCTGAGCCTCCCAAAGTGCTGGGATTGCAGGTGTGAACCAGTGTGCCCAGCTTTGTATAGATTATTTATTGATTAAGCTTGTTCTTTAATTTAAAAATATGAAATACACAATGAAGGATTTTCTCTACCTGTCTCTCTTCTGCTTATTTCTCTCCCTCCCCCCAACTTGTTGATTTTGGTATATTCTTACAGAGTTTATACAAAGGTAAGCATATGTGAATATATCCTCTTATGTCCCTCTTTTTATTTTATTTATTTATTTTTTGAGTTGGAGTCTCACTCTGTCGCTCAGACTGGAGTGCAGTGGCTGCTCCTGGCCACCGCAGCCTCGACCTGCTGGGCTCCAGTGATCCTTCCGCCTCAGCCTTCCAAGTAGCCGGAATTACAGGCATGTGCTACCACGCCCAGCTGGGTTTTTAAAAATTTATTGTAGCTGTGAGGTTTCGCCGCCCAGGCAGGTCTCGAACCCACGGGCTCAGGCAATCCACTCACCTCAGCCTCCCAAAGGCGCGGGATTACAGGCTGAGCCACCGAACGCGGCTATATAAACCTTTTTTTAAAAAAATACAAAAACAACTTGGTGACAGCAGTGATGTTTGAGGACAAGGACAAGATATGTAAGCATTCCAACATTTTTAAAAGTTCCTAACAACATAGTACCAAAGTATGGTGCTAAAGAACTCTAGAAGATTGGAATGGTTAGCTTTATATTCTGGCCTTTTACTACTTTTGTATCCCTAAAGATGCCAAACTCCAGGAATAGCCACACTCCATCAGTAAGAGTGGAGAAACCAGGGTGGCCTACCTAGCCCCTGTATGCCTGTGGCACTGTGACCATGGGAGAAAAGTACTTTCAAGGGAAAGAGGGCCTGGTGAAAAGGAGGATAGGGACCCTAATGGAACAGTTTCCCCTGTTCTGTCCTGTGTCTGGGAATAAATGGACGTAAAGCACAATGGAAGAGCAAGTTGTATACTAATTGTATGGATTGCTGAAACCCTCATGTTGACTTCTTTTCATACCAATATGGGACATTTATGTGAATCTGTGTGTTTATAAACATCATTACAATCTCCAACAAAACAGATTTAACTCAGTTTCACAGAAGTGGCTAACCGAATGCAGATCTTTTAGTAGCCCATATGTGTCTTTTTCAGTGGCACGTTTCTCTTCCCTTCCTCAAGTGTTAGAAATGCATACCACTTTTGATGCACTCCCTTTCTTTTGCAGAATGGCACTGATGTCACCTATGGTGGAAATTTGGTGATCGAATATATACAATGTTGGCTCTTGTATTTTGCAGCTTTGGAGAATGGGAAGGACTGTCTGCATAGAATGAACTAAACCACCATTTGCAAAACATGTTTATAGTTGTGAGAAGTTAGATAGCAAATTTTAAGTAATATTCTTGTATATATTTAAGTTCATCAAATAAAGGTAAATTAATCCTAAAGAACTTTAAAAATTACAGACATTCCACTGCCCTTCTCCCAAAAAGATGTCGTTTCGAAAAATGGATCCTAGCTGTACAATAGGATTTTACTGTCGAAATATTCAGGACTTCGAACGAGCTTCTGAAGAAATCTCTAAGGTACCTTTATTTAAAATATTATAATAGTATTTGTATATGAGCTAATTTTTATTAGCGATACCCTATAAGAAGACAAAAACTTATAAATTATGATACTTTCCTAAAATTTCCCCTTGAATGTTAATACCATTAGGAGTATTGTGAACTAGAAAATAAAGCTATTTGGGGAATCTTAGTGTTTGATACAAATGAAATCAACCAGAGACCAGTTGAAAGTCTTGATTGCTCCACTAGGTGGCACTGTTGAAACAAAAATCCTTTCCTAAACTGGTGCCCGGTGCAAGCAATTAGGTTACATTTATTTGAAGAGGATTTTAAAAGGGCAGTCCCTTAGGGGTAGAAAAAAATTAATGAAGTATTTGATCAAGCCAAATTGTGCATTATTTCTTGTTAGTCCAAGTGCCTCTTTGATTTTTTTTTAGAAGAGAAATGGTATTTTTGGATTTCTCAGAACTGCTTTATCCAATGAGCTGTGTTGTCACTTGCCAATAAGCTTGTCTAATCTGATCTATTCTACTTACGGGATCTTTGAAGTAGGTTTATTTAACTACTTCTTATTACCTCTAAACGTCTGCATTTTTTGGTCCTTGAGTACTGCTAAAACATTTACAGAGGCTTTTTTTTTTTTTTTGAGTTGGAGTCTCACTCAGTCGCCCAGACTGGAGTGCAGTGGCACACTCCCGGCCACTGCAGCCTCGACCTGCGGGGCTCCAACGATCCTTCCGCCTCCACCTTCCAAGTAGCCGGAATTACAGGCATGTGCTACCATGCCCGGCTGATTTTTTGATTTATTGTAGAGATGAGGTCTCGCTGCCCAGGCGGGTCTCAAACCTGTGGGCTCAGGCAATCCACTCACCTCAGCCTCCCAAAGGCGCGGGATTACAGGCTGAGCCACTGAGCCTGGCCAATTTACAGAGTCTTAATGTCTGTCTATATTTAGTACTTCAGAAAATAAAAAAAGATTACTTTTTAAAGGAGTAAGCACAGTTGGATGGCTGTCTATTGGTATCGATAGTTATAGGTATCATTTTATGGTAAGTAAAACAAGTACTCATCACTTTTGAGCTCTTTATTTTAACTTTTTATTTTAAAGATGTGGGATACAATTCAGGGTTAGGTATACAAATGTTCATTATGCAGGTACCTTTGTTGATGAGGTGTGCCCCCCTTCCCCAGGCAGATTCCTACTCCTGCCCATCCCACGCCTTTCCTCCCGGCCCTCGGCAGTTTCCCACTACTGCCAATCCTTTTCTTATAGTATTACGATAATCATTCAAGGTTCACTTATGAGTGAGAACATGTGATACTCGGTTCTTTGTTTCTGTGATAGGTTACTCGGTATTATAAACTTCAAGTCCATCCAAGTTGCGGCGAAGTTCATAATTTTGTCCTTTATGGCTGTGCAATATTCCATTGTGTATATGCACCATGATTTTTTTATCCAGTCCTCTTTTGATGGGCCGCACGGTTGGTTCCATGTTTTTGCTGTTGTGAACAATGCTGCCATAAAATGCATGTGCAGGTATCTTTTTTACAGAGTGATTTGAGTTTCTCCAGGTATGTTCCCAGGAGGGATATTGCAGGGTCATATAGAAGGTTAATTTTTAGATCTTTTAGGAATCACCAAACAGTTTTCCAAGGAGGTTGTATTAGTTTACACTCCCACCAACAGTGTAGAAGTGTTCCCTTTTCCCCACATCCTCTCCAGCATCTGTTGTTTTTTGAGTTACTGATAATGACCATCCTGACTGGAGTTAGGTGGCACCTCAGTCTGGTTTTAATTTCCATTTCTTTGATGACTAGTGAGGCTGAGCATTTTTTCATGTGTCTGTTGGCTGCTCATATGTCTTCTTTTAAGAAGTGTCTATTCATATCTTTTGCCCACTTTGCAATGGAGCTATTTGTTTTTTTCTTTTCGACACATTCGAGTTCCTTGTAGATCCTAGATGTTAGGCTTTTGTCAGATATACAGTTGGCAAATATTTTTTCCCAGTCTGTGGGCTGTCTCCCTGATCTCTTGGTGGTTTCTTTGGCTTTGTAGAAGCTTTTCAGTTTGATGAGGTCCTACTTGTCTATCTTATTTCTTATGGCATGGTCACTTGGGGTTTTGATCAGGAAATGGTTGCCAGTTCCAATTTCCATAAGGATACCTCCTGCATTTTCTAAGGTTTTTATAGTTTGAGGTTTTTTATTTTTTTTATTTTTTTTGAGTTGGAGTCTCACTCTGTCACCCAGACTGGAGTGCAGTGGCCGCTCCCAGCCACTGCAGCCTCGACCTGCAGGGCTCCGGCGATCCTTCCGCCTCAGTCTTCCAAGTAGCTGGAATTACAGGCATGCGCTACCACGCCCGGCTGATTTTTTGATTTATTGTAGAAATGAGGTCTTGCTGCCCAGGTGGGTCTCGAACCCACGGGCTCAGGCAATCCACTCACCTCAGCCTCCCAAAGTGCTGGGATTACAGGCTGAGCCACCAAGCCTGGCTTAGTTTGAGGTTTTAAGTTTAGGTCTTTGATCCATTTAGAGTTGATTTTTGTGTATGGTGATAGGTAGGGGTCCTGCTTCAATCTTCTGCATGTGGTCAGCCAGTTTTCCCAGCACCTATTCAGTACTGAATAGGTTCTCCTTTCCCCAGCGGTTGATGGTGAAAGATTTGTCGAGGATGAATTGGTTGACAAATTGAGGTTTTGCTTTTGGAATCTCTATCTTGTTCCATTGGTCTAAATGCCTGTTCTTGTGCCAATACCAGGTTGTTCTGACTATTCTAGCTTTATAATAAATCTCAAAGTCTGGGAGTGAGATTCCTCCCGCTTTGTTTTTTTGCTGAGGATTGTTTTAGCTATTTGTGGTTGTTTATGTTTCCATATGAATTCCTGTATTGTTGTTTCCAGGCCTGAGAAGAATGCTCCTGGTAATTTAATGGATATTGTGTTAAATCTGTAGATTACTGTGGGTAGGATAGACATCTTAATGTTGATTCTTCCAATCCATGAACATGGAATATTTTTCCATTTGTGTCATCTTTGATTTCTTTGAGCAGGGTTTTGTAGTTTTTGTTGTAAAGGTCTTTCACATCTCTGGTTAGGGAGAGGCCAAGGCATTTTATTGGTTTTGTGGCTATTGTGAATGGGATTGTGCTTTTTTTGGGGGGGTTTTGTTTGTTTATTGTTGGCATACAGAAATGCAACTGTCTTTTGCACATTTATTTTAACTGGGGCTCACATACAATTGTAACTGGTTACTGCTTTACTTCCCCTTAATTTTATTCAGGAAAATGGACATAGTAAGTTGAAATTTTATTTTTACTACATAAAATAGAATGAAAAAGTTAAATCAAGTGTTTTATATAAACCAGGCTTAGTTTACTTGACCTGCTGTGTAAAAGAGGAAATTTAACAGGAATATGACAGAAAAATAGAAGAGGAGAGGAGACAATTAGGTATTTGAGAACCTTCCCATAGTCTTCATTTCTCACAGTCGTCTTTTTCTCCTCCTTTTTCAACATAGAAGGCCAAGTGAACATAACAAAATATGTATTTTTCATGTTTCCTCTTTTATGAGCTGGAATTAGTATATGCATTTTTATATTTTTGACCATTCTTTGTCTCTATAAAGTGTTGTGTATATGATAAAATATATAAATCTAGGCAATGTTGTGATATGCATTGATGTTGATAAACATTTTGTATGAAAAAGTCCCATTTTTCTGTTTTTATTTATTTATTTTCTATATAGATTGAAATAAATATGTTTAAAACAATTAAACAGTCTACTACTGGAATAGATATATATCAAATTATTATTATCAAATTAAAACAAGATTTACAAATGAGTTGCATGTTGATGTTTTCTGATTAAGGACAGATAGCCACTGTATTTTTACACTGGATAAATACTTAGAAATTATTGCTCTTTATGTTTCAGAGCAAATGCATTATTAAGGCAAAGAGAAACCATATTAAAGTATCTTTTGGAAGTACTGAGAATTTTGTAAGAATCAATTAACTTTGTTTTAATAATAGTGTTTTTCTTAATAGCTTTTTGTAGTAGTATCAAAAACTCACTTTAATATTACAGTCATTTATTTTTGCCTGAAAAGTTGTAAGTTAAGCAGTTTCCTTTTTTTTTTTCCTTAAAAACTGAATTTGGGACTGGGCTCAGTGGCTCAGCCTGTGTAATCCCAGCACTATGGGAGGCCGAGGCAAGTGGATTGCCTGAGCCCACAGGTTCAAGACCAGCCCGGGCAACTTGGAGAGAGCTCATTCCTACAATAAAATAAAAATAACCTGGCGTGGTAGTGCGCGTCTGTAGTTCTGGCTACTAGAAAGGCTGAGGTGGAAGGATCGCTGGAGCCCAGAAGGTTGACACTGGAGTGGCCGTGAGTGTGCCACTGCACTCCAGCCTAGGTGACTGAGTGGAACTCTGACTCAAAAAAAGCCAAAAAACGGAATTTAGGATTTTTAGTTAAGCTTATATTTCTTTTTTTCTCTTGGAAAAGTAAAGCAATTTAAAAATTCTTTGTTTCTATGTAAGATATTTTCAATTTTCTCATTTTGAAAATGAAGCTGGGTAGTCTAGAGTTTCATACTTAATTTGTAATATTCTATTAATGAATATTCTAACTCGTTATGCTATGTGATTTTTAAAATATTAAGTAGAAATTGTTAAACTAATTCAGTGTTTAGCAGGGTCCAGTCCAGCAAGTGTGTGCATAACTGTCACATGCGAAGCTTATCTAGTATATATATGATCAAGATATAATCCCTGCTTTTGAACCTAGGTATAAAGTTTTGCCCTCAAGTAACATTTATGGTTGAGGAAGGGGGGAATAAGACAAGTAGATATATTTTTTAATCAAATATGATAAGCATCCATACGGAAATAGTTGCGATTTGATAGTGGAAAGAAGAGTGTTGAAATGAGAGATGTCACATCCAAGTCAAAGTACTTTATTGAGATGGTGATGCTTAAGAAGAGCCTTCAAGTGCAGGCCTCGTTTCCAT